ATAAACAGCTTGATTAAAAGTTTTGAGATTCAGGAACACAACAAACTAGCATTCTAAGCAATGGTATACATGCAGTTGTAGGTCAATTTTCCGTCTGTCGTGGCTTAATTGTACGGCTAGTACATGAGTCAAATGACCAACCAGTCACATAGACCTAATCTGCTAACGGATGTTTATGTCCCTTCTCAATTGCCACCTAATTCACATTTTCGGATAACTCACACACTTAGCAACTACTGTTCTGATATAGTAAGCATAGAATGGAACAAAGATAAGCAAGCATTTAAATTGTATATGTGAGTGAATTGGGTGACAACGGTCATGAACACGCGTAAGCCGATTAGCTATTCTACAAAGCTACCTTTGTGATGAAAGAATTTGCAATTGAGATGTAGTTCATAAACCTCTCTTTGTTTTTCTAGTGACTCCCAACTTCACTCCTCAAGGTCATATCCACTCGATGTCTGCATGGCTTTCTTGGAATTCCTTACACAAAACTTTCCAACGAATACACCATTCTCTGAACTGTCTAAACCAGTAAAAGTTGTCGACTCTATTATGTCCCTAATGCTCTCCTACCTATCTTCATCTAACCAAGTCTGCTCTGTGGCTAACTCTTCGAAGAAGAAATTCACTGCTTTATTTCCAACCCCAGGGTCGTCCCAAGATAGCTCGAACGATCCAAGTCGGGAGAAATTCCTACTACTTTGTCTCACTTTTTTGACAAAGCTATTTCCATTAAATACTGGTCAGTCTAAACTGTCTGACAATCTTGTCGCCGAGAACTCGACTATGGAAAAACTACTTGAATGTTTAAATATGTGTCGTGGTGAATCTTTTGAGCTTCTTGAAATCGGAGTGAATATTGTTTCAGGAGATTTGTCCGAGGTGCAAGGACTCGAGAAGCCGAGTTCAATTGAAGATGGCGTTATGAAGATATTCTGCCTGCTTTACAAGCATACTCAACAAAGAGATACAATTGTGCGTAGTTTGTTAAAGTTCTTTTCAAGTGATGTCCAAGGTGGTAAAACGCAGCAAGATTCGTACTATCATATCTCGGAGCTGCTACTCTGGATTTTACTTAAATTATTAGACTGTGATGTTAATTTTCAAATATTTTGCGAAAATGGTAAGTCCTTTGAAATAAAATAGGAATCTAGGAATCGTCTCATTCACAAAAACATCATGGAAATTTAGACCTTTGTATGCAAGGCAGCTTGAGATTTGAGTATCATACCCCTAGATCCACCAGTGATAAATTGTCCCGACTGAGGGCTCTTTTCCACCCATCGCAGAAATCAACTCGGCTGCTCGTTGCTAGTGCCTGCATCTAATTAAACTAAACTGTCGAGCATTGTGATTGGATGAAAGCACTTGCATCGAGTTTGCGAGTTCAAAAGAAGCTTGGCACTAGAGATAGATGCCCATCAAACCAAAACCATCTGCATAGATCACACTATTCGTGCTACTATCTTGGATACCCAAACTTTGATACCGTTCCAGCCAATATTGCAAAGTTAATGCACATCGACAAAACAAACTTTATCACTTCCCCTCCCCCAGTTCAATGTTGTAAACAAAGCAGAAACAACTTTTGGTAATTGACCATAACACAAGCTCAACATTGAGTTGGGGGAGCGGGGACTTAAGAAGAGCAACATGTTTCATTTATCGTAAGGGAAAGGTAGTCTAAACCTAAGATTGTAGTTCATCTGGTTAATTTATCTTGTGTTTCTACTATAGATGGAAAGCTCATTTGTTTAACTGGGATCAATCTTTTTTTTCATCTTTACTTAAGGTGGCATAGAAGTTATCTGTAGTAAATTGTCACGTGCTACATCACGTGCCTTACACCCAGTCCGTGGAGTTGTGTCAACTGTTGTGCACCAACTTGGAGTTAAGATTCATTCAAAGATTGAAGGAGAAAAACATCTATTAGCGGCTGCATTGGAGAGTGATAAACCCTTGGTGAACTTTGCACCTTATGGTGAGTACGATTGCAGACTGTGTCGTACTCTAAATTCATGCTAAATGCATTATGCATTTACACTTATTTATGCACGGTAACATCTCAACCATATCCTAACTATTAAAAATTAAAAGTTAAAAATCTATCGGTGTTTACGTTTAGAATATTAAAAATACAATAAAAAGTTATTAAAACAAATTATAAGGTTGATTTTCAACAGTGACCCACTTAACCAAGACTATTTATCTTAGCAGTATTATCTGGAATATTTATCTTAACAACAGTGTTACAACTATGTTTATCCTAACCCACCCTGTCAACTTTCCCTGTCAATAAACTTGGCATCCGGTTTCGTAATCTCTTAATAAAACCCTAACATTAACCCTAACCCGCATCGAACGCCCGTGAGTTAGTCAAATCTCTACCGTTCCTAACTTTTAATAATATTTCTCTTCAGGTACCATTCATTGTCCCTCTCACAGTGCGTCAAGTGTCGCTGATAATCTCATATCCACTGCTGTCCCTACCCGGCGAGCCCGCAGTGCTGCATGGATACATCATTTCGATCACAAGGATACTTGGTGTCCTCTCTATATAAATCTTCCTAATACTGTCATCGTACATGAAGTAGTGATTCAGCCACATTCAGCGTCGCTTTCAAGTAGGTATTGTTGTGTTTCAGAAAGCGGCAGTAGATGGTGGACAACTTCAGAAATGTCAACACTTGCACAGGAACTAGAAACTTTGCCAAAATCTCTCAAATTTATTTTATATCCCCCCCCCCCCAAAAAAAAAGTTATCCCACTCCACCTAGAGAAAGTTGCACACACACACCCCAAAAATTTAAATGCTCATTGGGATAAATGACAATAGTATGATTGAAATAAAGATTTTGAACTAAAGACCAAAAATCTCAAAATTTTCTTACCCCC